ATTGATACCAATGATGGTGCACTCTGTCTCCAACTGATACCAATAATGGGGTACTCTGTCTCCCATTGATACCAATGATGAGGCACTCTGTTTCCCATTGATACCAATGATGGCGCACACTGTCTCTCATTGATACCAATGATGGGGCACTCTGTCTCCCATTGATACCAATGACGGGGTACTCTGTCTCCCATTGATACCAATGATGAGGCACTCTGTTTCCCATTGATACCAATGATGGTGCACTCTGTCTCTCATTGATACCAATGATGGGGTACTCTGTCTCCCATTGATACCAATGATGTCGCACTCTGTCTCCCATTGATACCAATGATGAGGCACTATTCCTCCCACTGTTACCAATGATGGGACACTATTCCTTCCACTGAGACCAATGATGGGGCACTATTCCTCCCACTGATACCAATGATGGGGCACTATTTCTCCAACTAACATAAATGATGGGGCACTATTCCTCCCACTGTTACCAATGATGGGACACTATTCCTTCCACTGAGACCAATGATGGGGCACTATTCTTCCCACTAATACCAATGATGGGGCACTATTCCTCCCACTAATACCAATGATGGGGCACTATTCCTCCCACTGATACCAATGATGGGGCACTATTCCTCCCAATAATACCAATGAGGGGGCACTATTCCTCCCACTGATACCAATGATGGGGCACTATTCCTTCCACTGATACCAATGATGGGACACTATTCCTCCCACTGACACCAATGATGGAGCACTATTCCTCCCACTGACACCAATGATGGGGCACTATTCCTCCCACTGACACCAATGATGGGGCACTATTCCTTCCACTGATACCAATGAGGGGGCACTATTCCTCCCACTGATACCAATGATGGGGCACTATTCCTCCCACTAATACCAATGATGGGGCACTATTCCTCCCACTGATACCAATGATGGGGCACTAATCCTCCCACTGATACCAATGATGGGGCACTATTCCTCCCACTGATACCAATGATTGGACACTATTCATCCCATTGACATCAATGATGGGACACTATCCCTCCCACTGATACCAATGATGGAGCACTATTCCTCCCACTGACACCAATGATGGGGCACTATTCCTCCCACTGACACCAATGATGGGGCACTATTCCTTCCACTGATACCAATGAGGGGGCACTATTCCTCCCACTGATACCAATGATGGGGCACTATTCCTCCCACTAATACCAATGATGGGGCACTATTCCTCCCACTGATACCAATGATGGGGCACTAATCCTCCCACTGATACCAATGATGGGGCACTATTCCTCCCACTGATACCAATGATTGGACACTATTCATCCCACTGACATCAATGATGGGACACTATCCCTCCCACTGATACCAATGATGGGGCACTATTCCTTAGAGTAATACCAATGATAGGGTACTAGAAGCAGTAAAGGAGGGGCAGACAAATAATACTGCAGCTTCACTGTATAAGAGCTGCAATTCTCCTGTGGAAAAGCTGGAATTAAATTGCTGGCTGTATCTTCCGGCATCCATGGAATGTTTAAAGGACACAGCGGCAATGCCTGGGATAAACATCCTTAGAGGTAACGTCTTTGTCCACTTTAAAATGCATGGTTTGTTGCCAGACCATAGATATATAGAAAGGAGCGCCAGACCAAAATCGGATAAAAGAGTCCAAGATAACTTTAATTGTTGATGAAAAAAGTCATATGAAAACAGCCAGTGTGTTTCGGGGGCAACACCACTCCTCCTTCACAGGGCTCAGCACAGGATAAAACTTAGAGACTTCACAGATCTATATTAGAACTGATATTGACCTCTCCTCATGGTGGTACAACTTGACAGCAGTTGCTGAGCATCAATGGAACCATCTATTCATTCATTGGAGGCATCCATTTTATCCCGTATTGAGCTTTGATGAAGAGGGAGTGGTATAGCCCCTAAAATGTGTTGGATGTTTTTAGATTACTTTTTTATATCAACAATTAAAATAATTTGATTTTGGTCTGATTCTCATTTCAGTATTTCTAAGGGTTGGTGCTTATCAAGGGGAGTCTTGTTGTGTGGGAGTCACCTCACCAGAGCTATTGAGCTTGTTTAACGTTTTTTCCTTCGTATGACTACACTTGCAAGTCTATATGCTCTTAGCTCCTCTTTGAGTATGTTGTTCATGAGGTTTATTGTCTAATCATAGCTAAATGCCTAAACTAGGAGAAACCCATCATTAGTTGTTCGGATTGATTGAGAACTGGCCCTAGGCCCAGCAGGCCCAGCAGGTATAGTTACATTATTTGGCTTTAAAGAAGATAGCAGCATTGAAGACCAACACCTGCTCCAAGTCACTGTTTGTCTACCATTTATTTTAAGAAGGCACCAATAACCAGAGTGGGTATGTGATGTAGCTGCTTTGGTTGCAGGGAGCCTGCATAACGATGACCTATACAAATGATAGAGCACACAGCCTCAATTCTACACCTTTGGTCTGCCTAACGTGATACTAAAGGTATCTTTTTATTTTTTTTTTCTAATAACAAATATGTAATACTTACCTGCTCTGTGCATTGGATTTGCATGAAGGCAAAAAAAAAAAAAAAACCTTCAGTCCTTACAACCATTTTAAAAACACAATCTTGCTTCAGGGCTGCTATAAAACAATAAGAATCTTGATAATAAAATTGAAAACGTAAAATGTAACTCCACTTTTGTGGGAAAAAAATTAGCAAATAAAATAAAAAAATATAACGTATACAATTGCGTAATTATGGAGGAGACAGATACATTGTATCTCTTTCTCTCCTTGCATAGCGAAAAAAAAAACTGTAAAAAAAAAGATTAAATAATAAATATTAAAAAATAAAATAAAAAATAAAAAAAAATACCTAGATCAAGGTTTGATCTAGTTCAGTGCCAGGGTTAGTGTTTGGATCAAGGTCAGGGTCAAAGGTCAGGATTTTTTTTTTTTAATTGGTGTCAGTGTCAGTTAGTGTCAGTGTGTTTTTGGTAAACAAAAACAAACAAAAAAAAAAAACCCCCAAAATGCTCACTATTGTTTTTGGGCTGTAGTACAGGTACAAACAACAAAAATTATTATTATTATAATACAGTATCTATATAGTGCCAACAGTTTGCTCAGCGCTGTACATTACAATGGGAGACTATACATGAGACAGTACAGTAACAATACAATAAAATACACGAGGGGTTCGAGGGCCCTGCTCCTTGGAGCTTACAATCTAGGAGGGAGGGGATAGTGGTACAGGAGGAAATAGCTGTGGGGGATGGAGTGGTACACATATACGGTATCACAGTGACTAAATGGTTATCATTTCCACCTGGCGGTACTAGGGTCACTGGTTCAAATCCCAACCATGGCACCACCTGCCTAGTGTTTGCATGTTCTCCCTGTGCTTGCATGGGTTTCCTCCCACACTCTAAAGACATGCTGGTAGGTTAATTGGCTCCTGTCTAAATTGTCCCTAGTATGTGTATGTATGAATGTGAGTTAGGGACCTCAGATTGTACACCCCTTGAGGGTTAGGGACTGATGTGAATGTACAATATATATGTAAAGATCTGTGTAAATTGATGGTGCTATATAAGTACCTGAAATAAATAAATAATGGTATTGCTGTGATGATCAAGAGCTCGAAAATATATTTTGGGTTGTTCTTTGGTTGTAGGTTATGGTAGTAACAATAAAAACACAGCTAAATTGAAAACAAAATTTTTTTTTACTATTTTGGGCCAGTTTTCCTATTATAAAAAAAAAAAAAATCACCAAAATTACCATTTACCACCATATGAAAGCCCAATTTGTCCTGAGGTATGATGCACCTGGATGTACAAAGTAGTTGTGGTGATATGTACGGTTTTTCCTAACACACGTCAAAGTTGCAAAATTGTACTTAGGCATTAAGATTTGTTTTACCCTTAGGCGTGAAGGGGTTAAGCACAGAATGATGTTGCCCAAGGGACCATCAGCAGGGATCCCTGTCAGAAGTGCTGTTAGTAGTATAAAGCAGGGACTGCGTTCAGCAGCAGCCCTGATCTGGATGGACAGCCAGCCATTAGGCCAACTAGGTGGGGAGACGCCACTTGTCCAGACCATAGGAGGAAGTAAAAGGAACGCCCAGGCTGGGGTGAGCTGAAGATTTGATTTCGATATGTCCTGATCATGAAGGGGGTGGCTGGGGCCTCACCCAGCACTGCTAACATGGAGCTGTCAGGAAAGCGGAGTTACTCTTTAACTAAATATACATTAATTTAACTAAATATACATAACAAAATTAAGAATTCAGACACTATGCTATAGCATGAAAAATGTGACATTAGGGTAGTAAAATCTTCCGTTTGCTAGGGATTATTATTTTCCGCATGTGTGTTTGCATCACCTTTACACTTTCTATCCGCTAATTTCCATCATCGTATACTTAACTTATCTGGCTTTGAGAACCTCCTAAGCAATTACTGTTTTGCATTAACCACGAGAATATCCACATTAAGAGACATTTTCCAACACCAGGCTAGATTAGGTGTCACAGAAACTTTGAGAGGTAATTAGCTCTTCTGTGTACCGAACACCTATCAGCAAATATTGACAGGGGCGGATGGCACACGCAATGATGCACTTTGGGTAAACCGGCTATGCACCTGATGACCCTTCTGTTCAAAAGTGCAATATGAAGGCCATTATCTGGAATTTACCATCCCTTATCAAGGAAAGATAGATAATGATCATGAACCTGTGTAATAAAAGAGCATTACAGAATAAAGTTTATTTCCCTTTGTTTATAAAGGATCTGCTACAATTTGCGATAATGAGCAAAGCACTCATCACAAAGCTAGATTAAATAATGAAATTTATGAATGTGTCTGGTATATAGTAAATCTGATACAGATATAAACTTGTGCCCTTTAATGACCAAAGTTTAATGGCCTTAGGAAATATGATGATTTATTTAAAGATGAGCTCCAGCGGAGGTATAAAAGACACATACAAATGAAGCTCTGTGCAGAGCTACCAGGGGCATCCCTAGGCAGGTGCGGGGGGTGCCCTTTGTACCGGGTGACACCTACCGCACGGGGTGACACTGAACCTGCTCCACAAAAAGGTAAGTTGGAAGCAAGGGGAGAATAATGGATCGGACTACGATCCATTATGCTCAATCCGCAGATCAGATCCATCCTGCGGGGATCGTCAGAATGCAACCTATACGGGGTGACACCGGACCCGCTCCACGAAAGGTAAGTTGTAAAGCAAGCCGACGATTCCCGCAGGATGGATCGGATCTCCGGATTGAGCATAATGGATCGGAGTCCGATCCATTAGGCTCAATCCACAGATCTGATCCATTCTTTGGGGATCGTCGGAGGGGGTGTCACCAAGTGTTATTGCACCGGGTGACACCAACCCTAGGGACACACCTGAGCGCTACCCCCCTAAAAATCATCTGGATAGGAATGCTCCTCTGTTCTTTGCCTCGAACTTCTAAGAACATTCAGCCCCTCTGACACACCAGGTTGAGTGTACAAACATACAATATCACGGTAATTCACTGAGAGTAAAACTTAGTACCCAATCATAGGGCTATATCAAAGACAAGAGACACCAAGCCAGGTAGTAAAGGCAAACATAATGTCACCCAATATGGTTGGTAACTAGGCAAGCATAAAATGGATTAACAATGGTAATAACCAGGGGCGGACTGACCATTTGGAAACTCGGGCACTTCCCGAGGGCCCGAGGTCAGTAGGGGGCCCCATGAGATGTCCCTGGTTCCTTTTTCATAGGCTTTTTTGAGTTTGGGCAAGGACACAGGGGCCCCATGATCCCCTATTGCCCGGGGGCCCCATGAGTTGTCAGTCCACCCCTGGTAATAACACAGTTTAGCATACAAAGTGATTAACAGTTGGCACTTGGCATAAGATGACATTTGGCATCCAGATCAGAATATTAGTAGCAAGGTTACCTTAAGTGCAGCAGTGACCAATAGTAAAGTTTAATCTACCGAGTGCTGGAAATATCTGCCGAGTGCATTTATGGTGGCTATGCTAGTCCTAGACGGACTGTGTATGCACTGTCCAAAAGAAAAGGAGGATAGTAGCAAAAGGGGGCAAGGTAACAAAGGGGAACTGCAGAATAATTATTTGGGGAAGAGCAGTCCTTTGAGATGTTCTTCTGTGGGCTATCGTTGGGACCCTTTAAGATCGTTGGTGCACTTAACAACAGTCTCAGTTAATCTGCATGCAGTATAGGTACAGTAAAGGTATGGTATAGTCTTGACACAGGTGTAAGGTAGATGTGGTCTGTTTTGGTAAAGATTCAGTATAATGAAGTATAGGGTTGGTATAGGTGCAGTCTAGGTTTGGAATAGAGTGCAGTATGTGTGCGGTATGGATTGGGTACACTTGGTGTTCTGCTCTCAGTGGCTTAGTCCCTGCTAGCAGTATCAGCAATTGGCAAATAGCCCTCTCATCAGTCCCCAGGATGCTGCAGTGTCCTCTTGCTGTAGAAGGGGGGCCTCCTTGGTCCCTCCCCAAAAGCCTCTGGTAATCAGCAGGGGGAAGCAGAGGGTGAGTGGATACGTGAGTCTCCCTGTGGCAGTATAGCATGTGCTGTGGTATGGCAAGTGCTGTGCTAACCCGGGTGTCCTCAGTCTCCCAGTCTCAGGTTTAGATCTCTGCTGGTATGGTCTCATGCTAGCAGGCGAATATCTAGACAGAGGTGCTCTCTCTCTATCTTCCTTGGCCAAGAGGAAGAACTTTCCTGGGCAGTTTATTAAAAATTATCTCTCCACTCCTCCTAATGCACAGTGCATATTAGGATCTGTAGTGTAGGGAGTCTATCCCATTATATGGCTGCCGTCTCAAGCTACAACTCCCAGGATTTTCAAAACTCTGTATAGAAGTCTATGGGCTTGCTTGGCTTTAGCTCTCCCCCTGCTGGACAAAGGAGAATGGTACTACATAACATCAGTATCTCAGTAGAGGGAGAGAAGAATAAAAGACAATGCCTCATTGCTGTAGCCCAGCACCTGGCAACATCTGTATTCATTAATACATCATTAAATTTATTTTTTTTTTAAATACAGCCAGTGGAAGCAACTGAATATAACTTGGTATCAGCATCTTGCTTGCTACTGTACAGCAGAGCTCAGACTGGGAGAGGGAGAAACAATAATGGGACAATCAGTTATGCTGCAGTGCTCATGTGTTACCAAGGAAAATGCTGATAGGAGATTGAAGCTCCTCATTGTGCTACTTCTCCTTTCACTGTCCAGTCACAGGCTCGGGGAGGGACAAGACCTGTACATGTTACTTAACTGCAGCAGAGAAAAGTCAACTCTTCTGCCTTGCCAGACAGGGCTGTGCTGTGTGACAGAGCTGTGTAAATTTCACAACTGTATGCACAGAAATGCAAATATTTTGGCAGGTAAAATACAGGGGCATAACTACGAATCATGGGGCCCTATAGCGGAATTTAGATGAGGCCCCCTGGCTAACTCTCTCTGAAGCAGCTGACAATCTTAACTGTGACAATGCGTAAAGTAAAACGTGCCTAAATCAAGGGCAGGCTGCAGGAGAGTTGTCAGCATAGTCAGATGACTACAGACTAGTGCCTTGGGTAAGAGGTATAGTTATAGTAGCAATAGTTATAACCATAACAATATATAAAACATAACATAGATAGTGCAGCCATGGCTCTTATCCCTTCTGATGATGTACGTGTGATACGAAACGCGCGTCAAGGAGGAGCCCCTGCTAGCCGTGACGTCAAGCCGCCGGATCAAGGAGGTCCGGCGGCCACCCATCTATACCAGCTGGTCAGTGTGTAATTTATCTCCTTTCTGCTCTATATCGAGCACTTAACTCCTCAGGACCACAAGGTGATCATCCCAGGGCCCAGAGTAACATTCAGCTGATCCTGCTTGGAACCAGGTCTACTACAAGGGACCCCCAGATGCGGCACCCCCCATCACGGAGTCATTCGATCCGAGCTTCTTTCCATCCACAACTGGAGTGACCTTTGGTGTATATGACACAAATGCGCAATTAAATTGTGCTTCCGGTGAGTGCGCAATTTACTCATTTTTCTGCATAACGCCGGACTATATTTATCACGGGGATCTTATCAAGCCTTTCTCAACTCATTTGTGGCTTTTTTGATCACTAAACTTTCATTGGATTATCTTTTTATTGTGCATCTATATTGTGCGTTTATATAGTGAAGTGAAGGCGTGTGTGGTACACGCCTTTACTGCATCTTTATTGGGAAGGTCATACACATCGTATGTGGCCTATACCGTCTGCCAAGATCTAAGGAACTTTGCACCACAAATACGGGTGCAACCATACGTTTATATCATTTTCTAGCGCTGCACTATCTATGTTATGTTTTGTCATTTTAAGGTTTTATGGTTTTCCTTTTTAGTGTATCAGCTGCTGTATTAGTTAGCGCTCACTGAACCCCCCACTATCATAACAATATATATTATGACAAAATGATTAATAATCTTGGACACAAGTACACTAGAACACTGATACAAACGTCTTTAAATTTTTTGTAAAACTTCAGATCTCAGGTGTCTTATAAAGTTTCAGCTGAAGAAAATACTCTGGAATTCGGTTAATTTTAGTCGATACCATAAATTCCGAGGGCAACAAATCTTCTGTGCTAAGACATACACCGATCAGCCGTAACGTTATGATGACCCAACTAATGTTGAGTACGTCTGCCTTTGCTGCCAAAACAGCTCTTACCCATTGAGGCATGGACTCCACTAGATCTATGAAGGTATGCTATGCTTTTTGGAACCCAGTCATCAGTAGCAGATCCTTTAAGTCCTATAAGTTTGCGAGGTAGGGCTTCCATGCAGTGGTGTATTTAGGTTTAGTGCTGCCCTAGGCAACACAAAAATTGCCCCCCCCCCATGGAGAGACCCTGACACTGACTAGCACCCCCCTCTCCCATGAAGAGAGCCTGACATTGACCAACAACACACCAGCCCCCCCCCCCCCCCCCCCACTCAAGAGAGCCTTCCACTATCACCGTCCCCAATACAGTGACAACCCCCCCACCCCCACCCGGCGACAGAAAAGACACTCACCCTCACAGCTCTGGACATCCCCGGGAACAAGAGTCAGGCTCTGCATACACCATCAAGCAGCCCGGAGCCTCTCTCAGATCCCACCTGGTCCGCATGCTGTGTGTGTGTCGCTTCTTTCGGGTGGTGGCGCTGACCCCCGGAAAAATGCTGCTGCCCCCTAAAAAAAGCTGCCCTAGGCAAATGCCTTGTTTGTCTTGTGGTAAATACGCCCCTGCTTCCATGGATCAGACTTTTCAGCACATTTTACAAATGCTAGATTGGATTGTGATCTGAAGAATATGGAAGCCAAATTAACAACTAAAGCCAAAAGCTAAAGCCAAGCTAAAAGCCAAGCAAGCCCATAGACTTCTATGCAGAGTGTTGAGAATTCTGTCAGTTGTAGTTTGAGACGGCGGCCATATATATGGGATGCATAGACTCCTTACACTACAGATCCTAATATGCACTGTGCAATAGGAGGAGTGGCGAGATATTTTTTAATTAACTGCCCAGGAAGGTTCTTCCTCTTGGCCAACGGAGTTAAAGAGAGAGCACCTCTGTCTAGAGCAGCCTTTCTCAACCAGGGTGCCCTGGCACCTTGGGGTGCCTTGAGGTTTTTTCAGGGGTGCCTTGGCAAAATGTCTAAAAATTGCCCAAAATGTGCATACAAGCCAGAAGGTGGATCAATGTGTATACTAAGCCACAGGTTTTCATTGTGCACCATTACGACCTTCTAGCCACCGGCGTCCTGACAACCAATGACATAATCAGTTGATAAGGATGATGCCAGCTGCCTGCACAGCATCCTAGTTTGACCCTCCCCTGCCCCTCTCCATCAGTGCTGGGGTCACATTAGCTCAGTGAGGGAGAAGGGAAACATTAGAATACTAGTCAGTACCAGTGTGCAAGTGTATTTGCTTTGGAAGAATAACTCACCTCTAATGTTGGGTGTCCTACATGTGTGGATGTTGCTGCGATATATGAAACTATTAGAATAGTTTTTCACATTTTAGAACAGGGTGCCGTTTTAAAATTATGGACAGTCTTAAGGCACCCCATTTTAGAATGGGGTGCCTCAAGACTGTCCATAATTTTAAAGGGTGCCTTGGGACTGTCCATAATTTTAAAGGGTGCTTTGACTGAAAAAATGTTGAGAAACACTGGTCCAGAGCACGAGGCCATACCAATGGAGATACAGATCTGAGACTGGGAGACTAAGGACACCTGGGGGCAACACAGCACTGCCCACATCACATCATATTGTTTTCTCCCATGGGGGGTGCGGGGAGCCGTCCTTGCCTGTAGAACACAGTGATTATTGCTAGCGGCTATAGCTACTGACAATGATTGCAGCTGCAACCCACCAAGCTAACAGGACAGGACAATAGTTCTACACCACCTGAACCAGATAAAGGTGGTCAGGTGCCAACCCAGACCCAACTAGTTCTCATCTGGGACTACCTAAGTGGCAGATCTTGGAATCCCTTGTCTAGGCATACCCTCGGTGCAGCCAGGTGAAGGATTCATCTTGGGTCTGAGGAGGTACATCAAGGGGGGGGGGGGGGGGTCAGTTCTGCTTAAAGAGACATATCTATTTTTGCTGATTCACATTTTTGGACAGTGTACAGATTGCTGAAGTGTTTGTCTTCAAGCTTGCAGTTCCTTGGACATCCCATGTACCCCTGGACCCCATCCAAGTCGGTAACCCCCAAATGAGAAACAACAAAAAAACAGCTCAAGGATTGTTTTGCTGACTCTGTTTCTGACGTTGTGGAAAATGCATGTTGCCTGGCCGTGCAGAGCTTAGGAGGGACCCAATCAAGTAGCCCTTAAGTGGATGAGCGCAACACAGGGCAAAGAAACAGGTTCACTTTAATGGTGGCCTTCTTAGCCCCAACAATCACCACTGTTACACACCATTTAGCCCCAAGTTTTGACTCTTTCTTTGCCCCCACCTCATATTGCTGGGCTCCTGAGCAGCCAATCACCATGCTCCAGCAGTGTCTTATGGGCGAAAGTGGTGTAGTCACACGCTCCTCAAATGTGAAATTACGGTGTATTTCTCTTTGTTCCTAGTGGAGGAATGAAGTGAATACTATGTCTTGGTGGTGGGATGTTTTCCATAGAATGCCATATAAAAGTAAGCCCTTATGAGTACTATAGGTGATTTTGTAAACATCGCAGTGCCTAATCTCTCCACTAGATGGCACTACCTTCAAGAAAACAAAAGAGGTCACATTACTTGAGAATGAATGATTTCCAGCCTCCCTCTCTGGGAATATCAAGTTCTCTGTGCGTGTCCCTGATCAAATGCATTCCAAATATATTTATTTTATTTATTTATAAATTACAGGTACTTACAGTATATAGCGCCATCAATTTACACAGCACTTTACTCACATTCATACATACGTACAGTCATGGCCACAAATATTGGCATGTCTGTCAGATAATGCACCACTTCGCCCGGAAAATAGTTGCAATTACAAATGTTTAGACATTATTATTATTATTATAATACAGGATTTATATATATTATTAATATTATACAGGATTTATATATTATTATTATACAGGATTTTATATATATTATTATACAGGATTTATATAGCGCCAACAGTTTGCTCAGCGCTTTACAATATAACGGGAGACAATACAGCAACAATACAGTTCAATACAAGAGGGATAGGAGGGCCTGATCCTTGGAGCTTACAATCTAGGACATGCTCATGTTTATTATTATTATTATACAGTATTTATATAGCGCCAAAAGGTTTGCTCAGCGCTGTACATTATAGTGGGGGACAGAACATGAGACAATACAGTAACAAAACAATACACGAGGGGTTCGAGGGCCCTGCTCTTTGGAGCTTACAATCTAGGAGGGAGGGGATAGTGGTACAGGAGGAAGTAGCTGTGGGGGATGGAGTGGTAGGAGGAGTGGAGGAGATCGGCTGTTAGGTGAGGGGCGTGTAGGCTTCCCTGAAGAGGTGGGTTTTCAGGGTGCGCCTAAAGGTGAGGAGAGTAGGTGACAGTCTGATGGATTGGGGTAGTGAGTTCCAGAGGATGGGGGAAGTCCTGGAGAAGTCCTGCAGTCGGGCGTGGGAGGAGGAGACCAGGGAGCTAGAAAGTAGGAGGTCTTGTGAGCAGTGAAGAGTACGGGTTGGGTGGTATTGGGGTATCAGGTCGGTGAGGTAGTTTGGGGCAGCGTTATGAATGGCTTTGTATGTCAGTGTTACTAGTTTGAATTTAATGCGTTGGGCAATCGGAAGCCAGTGGAGGGATTGGCAGAGGGGGGTGGCAGAAGAGGAGCCGTTGGTAAGGTGGATGAGTCTGGCCGCTGAGTTCAGGATAGACTGAAGCGGGGATAGCCTGTGTGTTTATTTCTTTTGTTTGTATTGGTATGACACAAAAAAGTGGAGAAAAAAAACAGCCAAATCTGACACATTCCACCCAAAACTCCAAAATGAACTGGACAAAATTATTGACACCTTCTCAAAATTATAAGAAATAATTGCATTCCAAGTTTGTAATGCTCCTGTAATTTGTAATTAAACTCACCCATAACAATTAACAGATCGTAATGTTCCTGTGTCCACTGTGCGCAACATTGTCAAGAAGTTTACAGCCCATGGCACTGTAGCTAATCTCCTTGGACGTGCATGAAAGATAAAAATTTAATCAAAGATTTCAACGACGGATTGTTGGAACGGTGGATAAAGAACCTCAATCAACTTCCAGACAAATTCAAGCTGACCTTCAGGCTCGGGGTACAACTGTGTCAGCTCACACTATACGGCACCATCTGAATGAAAAGAGATGCTCTGGTAGGAGACCCAGGAGGACTGTTGATACAGAAGCCAGATTGGAATTTGCCAAAACTTACCTGAGGAAGCCAAAATCCTTTGGGAGAATGTGCTGTGGATGGATAAAACAAAATTACAGCTTTTTGGTAAAGTCCATCATTCTACTCTTTTCAGAAAAAGAAATGAGGCCTTTGAGACCAGGTTCACACTTTTGCATTTTCAATGCGGCGTGCAGGATCGCAGTGCATGACATTTATCATAATTTCCTATGGATCGCATTCACATCTATGCAGTTTTTGCAGGCATGTTTTTTGGAAAGGGTCAGGGACTTCTTTTCTCAGAGCAGTTTGCATTTTTAGTCCAATTGACTTCAATGGAACCGCATATAAAATGCAAGTGCTGCGTTTCGTGTGCGCTTTTGACACATTTTTGTTGTGTTTTTAATTTGCCCAGCAACAAGTTAGCCCAAAAAAATAAATACAAATGCAAAACGCTTCAAAAACGCAAACCGCACCACAAAAAGCACGGCAGAACTGGATCAAACACAAACTGCATAGGTGTGAACCTACCCTAAGGCTCTATTCACACCAATGCGCATTTTTAATGCTTTTTTCAGAAATGCAGTGTCAGAAAGTTGGGTCTCCTTCAGAGGTCATGTGTCTTACAGCAGGAGAATGACCCAAAGCACACTTCAAAAAGCACCCAGAAATGGTTTCAGACAAAGCGCTGGAGAGTACTGAACTGGCCAGCAATGATTCCAGATCTCAATCCCATAGAGGACCTGTGGAAAGATCTCAGAACAGCAGTTGGGAAAAGGAACCCTTCCAATCTGAGAGACCTGCGGCAGTTGGCGAAAGAAGAGTGGTCCAAAATTCCAGTAGAGAAGTGGAAGAAATGCATTGATGGTTACAGGAAGCCATCGATTTCAGTTATTTTTTCCAAGAGGTGTGCTACCAAATATCAAATGGAGGGTGCCAGTCATTTTGTCCAGTCCATTTTTAGGGTTTTGCATGGAATGTGTCAGATTTGGCTTTTTTTTCTCCACTTTTTTTGTGTCATACTAATACAAACAAAAGAAATTAACATGAGAATGCCTAAACATTTGTAATTGCAACAATTTTCTCAGCGAAGTGGTGCGTTATCTGACAGAAATGCAGGGGTGCCAATATTTTTGGCCATGACTGCACATATACTAGGGCCAATTTATAAAGGATCCAATTATCACCTAAAAGCATTCCTTTGGAGTGTGGGAGGAACAAATTCCATGTAGGTAGTGCCATGGTTGGGATTCAAACACACAATCCTAGTGCTGCTAGGTTGAAGAACTGACCACTTAGCCATTGTTCATATTACTCTGAGATGTCCCGTCATCCCAAAACTTTAATCACTCATTGATCACACATTTTAATCACACAAATGGCTAACAAAAATATCACATGGAAAAAGTTTATTTTAGAAATAAATATTAACCGCCTCCCGCCCACCATATAGTAATATGATGGACGCAAGGTGGTTCTCTCGTTCTGGGAGCGCGCAGCGTGGCGATCAGCGATGCGCTGTGTCCCGATCCACGGAAAGAGCCGAAGATGTCGGCTCGGTCATGTGATCAGCTGTGTCCAATCACAGCTGATTACATATAAACAGGGAAATGCCGGTTATCGGCATTTCTCTTCCCACAAGCTGTCACACTGACAGCTCGTGAGGAGAGGAGAGCCGGTAATTGGCATTCCTCGGAGGGGACAAGGGCACTGATGATCAGTGTGCCCTGATGATCTGTGTAGCCCCAGCAGCGCCACCTGTCAGTGTCCATCAGTGCCAGATCTCAGTGCTCATCCATGCCACCTGCCAGTGCTCATCAGTGCCACATCAGTTCCACATCAATGCCACATATCAGTGCCCATCTGAGCTGCCTTTCAGTGTCACCCATCAGTGCCAGTCAGTGCCACCTATCAATGCCAGTCAGTGCCACCTATCAGTGCCAGTCAGTGCCGCCTATCAGTGTGCATCAGTGCCTGTCAGTGCTGCCTATCAGTGCCAGCTAACAGTGCCAGTCAGTGCTACCTAACAGTGCCAGTCAGTGCCGCCTATCAGTGCCACCTATCAGTGCCGCCTATCAGTGCCATATATGAGTGCTGGGTTTCAGTGCCCATCAGTGATGCCTGTCAATGCCCATCAGTGCCTCCTTATCAGTGCCTCCTTATCAGTGCCCATCACTGCAGCCTCATTAGCGCACATCAGTGAAGGAGAAAAATCACTAATTTACAAAATTTTATAACAAAAAACATTTTTTTTTCAAAATTTTCAGTGGCTTTTGGTTTGTTTAAGAAAAAATAAAAAACCCAGAGGTGATTAAATACCACCAAAAATAAAGCTCTATCTGTCACAAAAAAATTCTAAAAATTTCATATGGGTACAGTGTTGCAGGACCGCGCAATTGTCATTCAAAATGCAACAGCGCTGAAAGCTGGAAATTGTCCTGGGCAGGAAGGGGGTATAGTTGCCCTGTAGGCAAGCAGTTAAAGTGTATCTCTAATAAAAACCTTTTTTTTTTAAATTTTGGATAGAGTAGGGAAGAATTATAACCTCTAGAGGAGGCTGGTAAACACAAAATCATGTGCAGCTCTGCATAGCAACCAAACAGCATCCAGATTTTATTGTCAAAGCTGAAGTTAGAAGCTGATTGGTTGCTATGCACAGCTGCACCAGATTCTGAGTGCACCGGTTTTACTAAAACTACCCCTCTGTGTCCTTGTTGGGTGATTCATTCTCTATTTGTACTGGTGACCACTGTCATTGGAACAGAAAGTGTAGAAAAATCAATAGGGTTTACAGTTGTCACCAGAACAGGAAGTGGGGGGTACATCTTCCTCCACTATCTTCCAATGAGGACACAATCCATCCACTATCTTCCAGTGAGGACGCTATCCTCCACTATCTTCCCATGAGGACATTATCCTCCATTATATTCTCATGAGGACATTATCCTCCACTATATTCCCATGAGGACACTACCCCCCATGATCTTCCCATGAGGACACTATCCTCCACTATCTTCCCATGAGGACACAATCCATCCACTATCTTCTAATGAGGCCACTATCCTCCACTATATTCCCATGAGGACACTATCCTCCACTATCTTCCAATGAGGACACTATCCTCCACTATCTTCCAATGAGAACACTATCCTCCACTATCTTCCCATGAGGACACCATCCTCCACTATCTTCCAATGAGAACACTATCCTCCACTATCTTCCAATGAGGACACTATCCCCCAATGAGAACATAACCCTCCACTATTTTCTCAGCACTACACTATCCTCCACTATCTTCCAATGAGGACACTATCCCTCACTATTTTCCCATGAGGACACTATCCTCCGCTATCCCTCAATGAGGACACTATCCTCCACCATCTTCTAATGAGGACAAAATCCTCCACTACCTTCCAATGAGAACACTATCCTCCACTATCTTCCCATGAGGACACTATCCTCCATTATCTTCCCATGAGGACATTATCCTCCACTATCTTCCCATGAGAACATTATCCTCCACTATCTTCCAATGAGGACACTAGCCTCCACTATCTTCCAATCAGGATCTTATTCTCCATTATCTTCCAATGAGGACACTATCCTCCACTTTCTTCCCATGAGGACATTATCCTCCACTATCTTCCCATGAGGACATTATCCTCCACTATCTTCCAATGAGGACACTAGCCTCCACTATCTTCCAATGAGGACACTATCCTCCACTATCTTCCCATGAGGACATTATTCTCCATTATCTTCCAATGAGGACACTAGCCTCCACTATCTTCCAATGAGGACACTATCCTCCACTATCTTCCAATGAGGACACTACTCCACTATCTTCCAATGAGGACACTAGCCTTCACTATCTTCCAATCAGGATCTTATTCTCCATTATCTTCTAATGAGGACACTATCCTCCACTATTTTCCCATGAGGACATTATCCTCCATTATCTTCCAATGAGGACACTATCCTCCACTATCTTCCCATGAGGACATTATCCTCCATTATCTTCTAATGAGGACATTATTCTCCACTATCTTCCAATGAGGACACTATCCCCCTGGCTTTCTTTCTGCTGTGTTTCTGAGACAGAAAGTGGAGTGCAATTATGGGCTTTAACCATTCCGTATTCTATACAAAATACAAATGTTACTTTAAACTTTAGTTTAAAATCCCTCTATTTACTAGTATTTTACAATATACTGTATATAGTAATGGATACCTAAAACCAAGAATACAAATGTAATATATTGATGTTTACAGTGGTTAGATGTGATGTCTGCATTAGTTTTCTTTTTCTAATTTATGAATATATTCAGCAACAGTACAGAAAATACCTATTGAATCTGTTAGCTATGCATTGTCTTTGCCACTTCCACTGAGCTGCACAGAAGATAATCTTAGCTAGCTATGTTCTGTAAACTACTAATTGCTATGACCCCAATGTAGTGGAGATGACGAGGTACAGACATGTTTGTAGTGTATATCAGGAGAGCAGCCTACGATGACAACCATGGCTCCCTCCATAAGTACCTTGAAGGAACAACGTAGTCACCCAGGGGCAGAAAGTATGTTATTTTCAGGATTGCTAGGGAAAAATAAAGCAAAAGAAGGTTAAAAAGAAAACAAAGACCGACACACACCAACAGGGGCGGACTGACAACTCATGGGGCCCCCGGGCAATTGGGGATCATGGGGCCCCTGTGTCCTTGCCCACACTCAAAACACACCCAAAAAAGCCTATAAAATGTACCAGGGGCATTTTATGGGGCCCCCTACTGACCGCAGGCCCTCGGGCAGTGCCCGAGTGCTTGAATGGTCAGTCCGCCCTGCACACCAAGGACCTTGAAAGCTGCAATGTATTATTTTTTGGGGTTTAGGGTTTGGATACACTTTAAAGCAGAACTTTGGGTTTCAGTCCCCCATACTCCCCCTGTCTCCTCTTCCATACCAGTTTTTTTTTTCTAATCCCCTTAGTCTGGATTCACACTTCTTCATCCCTGTGCATTTCGTTATTGCATGTTTTGTCATGCCTCATCGTGCATTACGTTACAGAGCCCAGTCATTTTTAATGGGCTGCTGATGCACAGGAACTGACTGAGAAACAGACATGCAGCCGTTTCTTGATGCAGTGCACCATAACGCATGGTTGTGGTGTGCCGCAATGCATGTGCATCAGAGCTGCATTGCCTTAGGGCCTTGGGTTACCATTCAAAATGAATAACACCAGAATTCACTAATATAAATATTGGGGTTGATTTACTAAAACTGGCAACTGCAAAATGTGTTGCTTTTCTGCAGAGAAACCAATCAGCTTCCATGTTTTATTGTTAAAGCCCAATTCAACAAGCTGAACTTAGAAGCTGATTGGCTAACATGCACAGCTGCACCAAATTTTGCACTCTCCAGTTTTAGTAAACCAACCCCAATGTATCTTGGGGCTTCAGTTTTTATTTTTAAAATGGTCAGGCAAACAATTAAAAAAAAACAAAAATTGGAAAACTAAATTTAAAACAACCGCTAATACCTTGTGGGTTCCAGTGTCCAGGAGGCAATGGGTTTCACCACTTAGCCAGCTGCAAGCAGCAGGTGTCTCTATTGAATAATGAGACCCATTGGCCTTGGTGCTGCTGCTAATGGCAGCCTCAGCTGTATATTAGTACATTTATTTCATGCCTTTCAAAACTCACGTTTGTTAACCTAATTTGGGATTCGGTAATGATTGACAATTGGAATCTTCCAACTCCATTTGGGAGTTTATATTGGATTCCACAAGAAGCTTTTATTTTATTTTCGGAATGGGTTGTTCTTATTCTTTTGAAATTGCATTCATGCAGTGCTTAGGGAAATCCAAAACTGTGAAAATTATCTTTTCCCTGGGAGGACGGACAGATCAAATGCTGTACAGTGCTAATATAGAAAATGACTTAAAGCGGAGGTCCAGTCAAAATAAAAAAAAAAAAAGCTACAAAAACTGTAACTGACTTTTATAAAACAGATATTCATCTGTTCCTCAATTCCGCAGTGTCCTCACACCGGCTGATTTCACCTGCTGTCCTGTGTCCCCAAAGTCAGCATCTTCAGTATGGGCATACGCTGTGACAGCTTGCGACTTCAGAACCAGGTGCCCACTGTGCCTGCACGAGTAACGTTTCGCTTTGTGAATGGTCCTGTAGTCTTCTGGGAACTGTCACGTGTCCCTCAAGGCTACGGAGAGGACGGAGGGGAGGACAACGCCTGATTCCAATCTCATAGGTGATTTCAGCGGAATTGGGAGTAGGTACCTGTCAAATTTAGGTATCTACTCCCCAAAGGTTCCAATCCCCAATGGGGAGCGGGGGATGAAGCCTTAAAGTGGAACTTCCTTTTTTGGGTGGAGCTCCGCTTTAACACATACTGGACTTACTGAAATTGTTGTATCCAAAGTATTCTAAACCTCCTGAACACTTTCCTAGTTATCACTTCTGTTACATAAAAATCTACCCCCAGAAGGGTCAACTATCTCTCAACAATCTAGTGACCATCATTGGAAATCAGATATTTAGGTATCTTCCACTTCTCTCTCTCTCGCCACTGAATGTCACATCTTATTTTGCCGCATCCCATTTTTATTTGGTGACTTTATGACTTTTTGCATCATTATCCCCTTGATGCACTACTATGTACCAATATTTATTTAGTGCAGATTGTGGGACTTTTTGTGTCAAAAGTTGCACTTGGAATTTTTTCATAATTGCCACACTAGTTGCATCTTTCAGTTCAAACCCTTCAACTGTAACTACTATTTGGCTTCCATGCACCAAATATGCTCCACAGCCCATTGTCTCTCATTTCCTTCTTGTTTCCCTCTCCCTCATTCTATGTTCACCCCCATTGCCTCTCTCGTCATTGTAGCTCTCTCTGCCTCTCTCTCTCCTATCCCTCATTGTCCCTCTCCCATGTTCCTCTTTATCTACCCCCACATTGCCTCTCCCCCACATTAGCTATAGCCTTTCTCTGTCTCTCTCTCTCCCCATCTGTGTCTCTTTTTCTCTAGCCCCCTCCCCATTGTCTCTCACCCTGTCTCCCCTTTCTCTCATTGCCTCTTCCCCCCCCCCCCCCGTCCCATTTTCTCCTTCTCTCTCTCCCTTCCTATTGCCTCTCTCTCTTTCCCATTGCCACTATCTTCTTATGTTGCCTCTCTTTTTTACCCCATTGCCGCTTTCTCTCTCCCCATGTTGCCTTTCATCTCCCCATGTTGCTTCTCCCCCCCGTTACCTCTTTCTTTCTCCCCATGTTGCCTCTTTCTCTTCATGTTACCTCTCTCTCCCCACATTTCCTTTCCCTCTCTCCTCATATTGCCTCTTTCTCTACCCCATTACCTATTGTAGCACTGCCCCCTTAGTTTGGGTTCCCCTATAGTCCTGCACAGCCAGGCAACACGCATTTCCACAATAACTTACATCCAGGAGACAGTAACCAGTCCTTGAGCTTTGTTTTGTGATTTTATTAGGATTTGAACTGGGATAGAGTTAGGGGTGTATCGGATGCCCAATGGAATTGCGAAACCAAGGACAACTTTCTGGAACTATATACAAGTTTTTTTTAAAACAAAATCCTCTTCTTGGAGGGCTAGCCAGCCTTTCCGGATGTACCACCCCAGACCCCAGAAACTGCTTTATCTGGCTGTCTGGAGGAATCCCTGAGCAGGAGATCCAGTGCCTGTCACTTCAAACTAAGACAGTCCCGGGTAGCCACTAATCTGATTTCTCACCTTCAAGCTGGCTACTCCTTCCCTGCCACACAGGTAGTCCTCTCTCAAGGGGCCGGTACAGTCCCAAGCTTTCCTCCTTCCAAGATTCCTACCTGGAGGTGAGCCCCTCTCCCATCTGGGCTCCCTCCTAGGCTCCTGTTCTCCAAACTCACATCCTCATCTTCCACCCGATTTCTTCGCCAACTCTTCCCCTGCTGAGCAAGCTCAGTTTCTCTTAAAGGCTGTCCTGGCCCCTTGCCAAGCCTCCTATTGGGGATTGGCCAGGATCCACCTCTGTTCACTGCTTCTAGAGCTTCAAAGTTCTAGAGCAGGTGGAAATCTCAGAGAGCTGGTCTGCAGAGCCTCTCAACTCTAAATTGACCTAAATTTGACCCACCTGGCAATCACACCCAGGCTGCTACTCAGCCTCCTTACTAGCAATTAGAGCTATAGCTCCCCCTAGCTACCTAGGAGGGTGCTACATTCACCCCTCACTAAAAAAAGCCATGTCCTTATTGGCTGGAGACAAAAAGAAGAAAAATGGCTCCTGATCCCAGGAGCGGGATATCCCATACAGAAAAAGGGAGGGGAAAAGGGAACAAAACTGGGAAGAGAGGAATAAGATATTTACAAAATAAATATCCATAGAAAAATATAGACATTTTGCATAATATACAAATTTACGTTAGGAGCATATTTACACCCTAAGTCTATTTGACTACTAGCAGGGAAATAAACAATATACATCAATGCATGTACAAATTCACAATACATGTCTATGAAACACTTCCCCCACAAGGAAAATCCTCCAAAAGAGTCTTGTGAGTCTTTCTTCTTGTTCTTGATGCAGGGAGACAGCCCTCCTGAAGACCTGCAGAACAGTGGGAAAAAACAAAAAGAGAACTACAGTCCTAACTCTGGCTAATTAACTAAGAAGTAGGACCTAGTGTCATTGGTTAGGGAGGAGCCCCTCTCTATAAACACAGTAGACAAACCAAACAGTCTTTGAAGCATTCCCAGATCAGCCTGATTGGGACAAAGAAATTAGAGTCCGGCTTAGTCAGCACACAACAAAAAATATAGGCAAGGTTTACTACGACAGGAATCCTGCATCCATCTAGTAGTACTGTTTGGGGCTGGGCACTCTAACTATTGAACCATCTGTCCTGTGGGCAGAAGATGGCAGAGACAGAGTAGGTCACTTTAGGCCTCCCTACCTTCATAAACACCACCTTGTCGATGACCCAACCCCTGCTTCATTCTTTCTTGATCTCCAAGAACCGGGCCCAGTCCACAGTAAGGTATGGACCCCCGCAAAGGTTTAGGGACATGAAGATAATCTCAAACAAGGTCATCCTCCCATTCCTGTCTGGAGTAATAAAAAATGTCTATAATGTGCTGGGGGACATAGGGGTAGTCCCATCCTCACTCTATAGCCACTTGTTTTTGTGCCAAGTGCCACCAACCCCCATGGCACAAGCTGGTGTCGCTTGGGCCCTGTGCCGGCGCTTCAGTGGGTGACTCATAATCCATAACATCCATGGGTGCTGGGGAATACATTTGAGCTTCATTGGACAGTCTTTTATATGCTTGTTTCACTTCTCATTCTTGCAGTATTAAAAAAATCTAAATCTACTTGCAATCCAAGATTGTTGGGAATATTAATTTCCCTAAACTCCTGGATGAAATATCTCCACCACTCATCCGAAGTCAGGATCTTCCTGGATTCTCTCAAATAATAATTCAGGACCATAAAAATCATAGCCCTCTGTGGGTGTATCATCTTTCAGCCATGGACAAACCTGGGTAATGTACCAATGAAGCACTTGGTATCCTTCATCCAACATCATCTCGATGCAGACCAGAAGTTACAGTTGGGCCACCCATTCCTGCAGGGGCTGCTGTCCAAGGAAGGGCATTCATAAGTCCCACTGAAGCCAGTATCACTCCTCTGGGGTAGCAAGATCCTTTCCACAATGCTCTTGTTCCAAATGTAGGGCTTATCTCCATAGCCCCCGATGAATGACATCCCTCCACACCAGTGCGTTCCGTACAGAACTAGGTCCACCCAATTCGGTGAGCTTCTGCTGCATCCACAACCGAAACTCTGCTTCCATAGCTGTGGGGGATAGCGCCACTCTGCAATGGTCTCCTAAAGATGTGTCCCAGTGGTAGTTTGGAACTGCTCCATAGGGAGGAAGCAAATTCCACTGCTAGCCACCAAAAGTGGTGGACCACCTGGCACACCACCTGGGTGCTTCCATCAGACAACTACTTCCTCACTGCTGGGACACAGGACCAAAGAGTTATAGCTGGGCATTGCACCGAAGGACTAGACAACACTAGTTTAGGTGCAATTGGAACCTTTTTTTTAACAGAAATACAGGTTTGTATACACTTCAGAAAAAGGGGAAGTCCCCACATGAACAATAAAAATCAAATATTACACATTGGGATAAACATCCCATACTGATTAGATAATGAGCTAAAATTGACACCAGACTAATCCCATCATGTAGAAACCTCCAGGAAGACTAGCCAGCAGCCAGAAACAATTGGTGACAAACACAACGGTAAACACATCACACCTTGGTAAACAGATTGCAGCAAGAGACCTCAGCATCAGGTTGCTTGGATCTGATTATATTAATATCTGCTTAGAATCTCTGAGTCTAGGAGGGGGGAAGTTAAAGTAGTCAATGCTGGTAGGGGCACAGAGACCCCAAATCTGTATCCTGGTCCTCCAGGTCTTAGAGTTTGTGTATTTCAGGGACACATGGACTTGAAGCCGAAGTAAAAGGTCCCCCCTAGGCACATATCTGCAAAAGAATAGAACCCACTCAGATGCCAGGGCCCATGGTCAGTAGGCAAGAGGCTAGCCTGCAGTCCCCTCCAAAAGTCTCTGTCCCAGTTGGGTCTCTCACATCTAGTTTTTATAAAGATTTGATTTTCATCTTACAAGTTTCATCAGTTGCTGCAGAGCAAGCAAGTACTCATGTTTCAGCTTTCCAAATCAACTGATCCTTAGAATTGCCATGAAAGCTGTACCCGGAACCTGGATCAGCCTGTAACAGGGAGAGTGTAAAATCTGATACAGCTCTGCATAGAAACCAATTAGCTACCGGATTTTTTTTTGTCAAAGTTTAACTGAAAAAGCTGAAGTTAGAAGCTGATTGATTTTGCACTCTCCACTTTTAGTAAATCAACCCCAATGTGTATTTTGGCACTGGACTCTGCATAAGACACGTGCCTAGATGTCTATGGTGCCTGCTGAGTCAGCTGCATATTGCTTTACACATAGCTCCCAACTCTCCCTGATTTCGAGGGACCGTCCCTCATTTGGAACAAAGTCCCTCTGTCCCTCCTTCCTCCTCATTTGTCCCTCATTTTGGTCTGATCAATATATTTGTATATAAAATACACTATTTATCTATCAAAAAGTCCAATTTTTAAATTGCTGCATTTGTAAATTTTAAAAGCCAATATAAAGGAATAGAAGTGGTAAACAAAAAAGCACTTGTCGGTTTACCAAATTATATTTTAAAAGGATAAAGTTCCCCTTTAAGGGAGGTGTGGCAGGGGGGTGTCCTATGCATACAAACTTTTGCTAATAGATGTCCCTCATTACCATCTCAGAAAGTTGGGAGGTATGCTTTACAGGTTCGGGGCTGCAGTGCGCCCACCTGGTTTAACCCTGTCTCTGAATCCCCTTACCCTAAGTTCACTCCATATCAGGGGCGGACTGACCATTTGAGCACTCGGGCACTGCCCGAGGGCCGGGGTCAGTAGGGGGCCCCATGAAATGCCCATGGTACCTTTTTATAAGCTTTTTTGGGTGTGGGCAAGGACACGGGCCCCATGATCCCCTATTGCCCGGGGGCCCCATGTGTTGTCAGTCCGCCCCTGCTCCTAAGTGTTTTCTGCAGCGTTTTGCAGAAATGCAGTACAGTCCATTTAACATGTTTTCCTATGGCGCATGTTCACACCTGTGCATTTTCACCCGCTGCGTTTTTTGGAAAGGGTCAGGAAATTTTTTTAAAGCAAAATGTTGCATTTTTGGTTCTATAGACTTCAATGGGTTATGCTGCAGAAAAACATGTATTGCGTTTTTGCCACGTTTTTTGATGCATTTTTTTATGTGTTTTGTGTTCAAAATCTGTCTAGCAACAAGAAAAAAAATTAAATAAAAAAGCAAAATGCATCAACAATGCGGCAAAATTCCAGCAAACGCAACCTGCATAGGTGTGAACCTAGACTCAGGCAATTTTCTCATCGGAGGGGCAAAGCCTGATGGGAATGGCATAGTAGATCTTGTGTTTCTATCCTATGTTGTGCCTGGGGGGTGTAACAGGTCTCTTTCCAGACTCCACTTGCAGTGACAATGGCTTTTGCCCATGTTTTATAGAGAGCCTGTGTTGGTGCATATACCGTAGTCTGGTTCTTCCCTAGTGGTTTAAACAACTGGGCTCTGGGTTTGATACTGCAGGTGGCAAGGCGGAGCTCCACTAGTTTGGGGCTTGCGCAACCTGTCTTCTGCAACTATGTGGGCTCTGGGCCAGGGGTGTATTTACCACAAGGCAAACAAGGCATTTGCCTAGGGCGGCATTTTTCAGGGGGGCAGCAGCTTTTTTCAGAGGGGCAGTACCATCCCCTGAAAAAAGGAAAGGAAGAAGGGACACATGCAGCACGGGGATCTGAGAAAGGCTGCGGCCTGTTAATGGTGTGTGCAGAGCCTGACTCTTGTTCCAGGGGATGTCCAGAGCTGTGAAGGTGAGTGTCTTATCTCTTGCCGTAGCGTAGAGGGGGGGGGGGGGGGGGGGGGGGGCGTTTTCCAGTGTATGGGGGGCGGTAGTAGTAAAAGGCTCTTTCGGGTGGGGGGGCTGGGGTGTTGTTGGTCAATGTCAGGCTCTCTTCATGGGGGAGAGGGGGTGTTGATCAGTGTCAGGGTCTCTCCATGGGGGGGAGACAATTTTTGTGTTGCCTAGGGCAGCATGAAACCTAAATACACCACTGCTCTGGGCCCTTCTTATACTGCACAAGTCCACTCTATGGTAGCCATAATGTGCATGTGCGCACCATTTGCACACAGACACAGAGCCTTTTGTCTTCTTGCCGTCTCATCTGCACCTGCATTGGTTCTACACTCCTCAGGCCAGTACCTGTGCTTACTGCTGCCTTACAGGTGACCTGGCATTGGCCCCCTTCTGCTTTAAAAGCAATGATTATATTATATCTCACTCCTTACTAGTATGGCAAATCATAAGTACAAGTACAGTAGTGTTGGAGGCCTGGCCAGCTTACAATCCACTAATGGCGCCAGGTGGTCTTGCAGTGTCCCCTCTATTGGACCTGACACCAATACCCCAGATCACTGTCTTCTGCCTTAGTTGCAACAATCCTCTGACTATTCCGTAACCTCAAATAAGCCAAAAGCTCCTGCGTATGAGTGTAGAGGGCTTTAGACAGGGAGGTATGGTGGATCTCAAATAAATGCCTCTGAGGAAGAGGGTTTCCCTCGAAACGTGTCAGCCTTTCTTTGGCCCTTGGATGGCTCTTGGTGCCATATGGAGCATATTTCCAGTGATTGTCATTTGTTATGTGATTTGTCACTTCTTGTTTGTGAGTATATTTCATTCAATAAACTGTTATGTGGAATAATGTGCTAGCCCAGTGTGCTCTTGTTCCATTTTTTCCTGCAGTTATTCCTTAACCTCCTCAAGGGTTGCCCTTCCTTAGTATTGTCTGGGTAAGAATTCTCAGCTACTGTCTCTGAGTTTATGGGCAAAAACTGCAGTCATAATAGCAGACTAAGAATGCAGGGGCTACAAGTGTGTTTGCATGCCTGTCCACCAGAGTCTGTCTCTGAATTCTGCACAGTCGGATGAGGATGAGGAGGATTATACCCAGGGGCGGACTGACAACTCATGGGGCCCCTGGGCAATTGGGGATCATGGGGCTCCTGTGTCTTTGCCCAAACTCAAAAAAGCCTATGAAAAAGGTACCAGAGTCATCTCATGGGGCCCCCTACTGATCCCAGGCCCTCGGGCAGTGTCCGAGTTTCCAAATGGTCAGTCCGCCCCGATTATACCTTATCTTTATTTGAGGATTTGGTAGACGAGGAGTAGCATTCTGCAGACATTAGTCCAGAACTTAAGAATGCCAACTTGGTTTCCTATTGAAGGAGTCTGGACATGCCCAGATTTGGAACTGTCTGTGCCGGCTACACCTAAAGTGACTAGCCTGGGTTCTCTCAAGAGATCTCAAACTGTAAACATCTTTCCAGTGCCTTTGCTATTGCATCCAGTTCTGTTTAGTAAATGGCTGGACCTAGAAGAGGTCTATGCTCCTCTTTAGTGTTTTGCCCAGCACTGCCTTTGAAGGAGAGGTTCTGAAGAAAATCTGTACTAGAACTGTATCATCACTTGGACTATCTGGGTCCAATCTTAAACATGGTCCTGTCCAAGGCTTTCCTTCTCTTAGATAAATTCCTATCTCTCCACTCCCACATTCACACTCTACAGTCCTGGAGCCACCTTACCCTTGTTTTTGCATGAAGGTTCTGGCCCTAATGGTATTCTCCTTCAAATTCCACTCCAGATCAGGGGGCCCCCAGGCAATAGGGAATCATGGGGCCCCTGTGTGCTTGCCCAAACTCAAAAAAGCCTATGAAAAAGGTACCAGGGGCATCTCATGGGGCCCCCTATTTACCCCGGGCCCACGGGCAGTGCCCGAGTTTCCAAATGGTCAGTCCGACCCTGCTCCAGATCATTGCATACACAGGGTTAGATCTGTAGAGCAAAGAAGTTGCAGGGAAAAATATCCAGATACATGTAAATTAATTGGTTTACATGAAAGTTATAGTACAATAATGGCAATATATATTCTGGAATTTTTTTTTTTTATACTAGTAATGGTGGCGATCATCAACTTATAGCGTGACTGCGGTGGGCATTCTGATACTGGGGGTGAACTGACTAACTGCCACATCCCCAGTGACACTAATACAGTGATCTGTGATAATAAAAAGCACTGACACTGTGCTAATGGTACTGGGCAGGAAGGGGTTAACACCTGAGGCGATCAAAGGTTTAACAGTGTGCTGTGTTACTGTGTGTGTTTTACTAGAGAAACATACTGCTTTGCATTGCTCTGCTATGCAGAGCAATACAAAGCAGCATGTTAGTGCTGACAGGGGAGAGATCTGTGTTGTTTACATACAGACCTCTCTCCCCTGTCACTGTTTCTCGGTGATCGCTCGGTGTCGGCGGGGAATCTCTGGCCAAAACCCAGTGATCGACAGCTGTATCCGCCAACAGCGATGCGGGTAGGGCGGTGCGTGCGCGCCTCCTACCCGGAAATGCAATATCATGTATATATACGTGATTTTGCGCAGCCCTATGCCGTCCTGTAGCAGTAGTTCTGCTATAGGGCGGCAAGGAATCGGTCAAAGTGGTTGTAAAGGCTGAAGATTGTATGCATGAAGGTAAAAAAACCTTCAGTGTACAGGAGCCCCCTTAGCCCCCTAATACTTACATGAGCCTGATCTCAGTCCAGAGATGTGCATGGGAGATTTGGATTTCCCAGATCTCTCTCTCCTCATTGGCTGAGACACAGCAGTGGGAGCCATTGGCTGCTCTTAATCTCAGCCTGTGAGGAGGGAGCAGGGGTGGGGCCAAGATGTGCTCTGCTGTGTCTTCTAGACATAGAGAGCGAGGCTTGGGAGTGAGCACAGGGACATAGCGGCTTGCTATGGGGGCACAACTTAGGGAGGAGGAGCCAGAAGCTCTGGCAAGGGACCCAAGAAGAGGAGGATTGGGGCTGCTCTGTGCAAAACCATTACACAGAACAGGTAAGCATGAAAAAAAAAACCATATACATTACTAGTGAGCTTCATATTATTTCCGATATTTGAGAAATGCACTTTTTTCATTCTCTAATCAGCAAACAGTTCAGATGACTCTGTTATGCTCGCAATAAACCACAAATGGGGCCCATTGTCCTATCAGCTTTCTACATTTATCTTATCATTCCATATCCTCTCTCAAACGATATGTATTTATTCTGAGGGTCCACGTTGAAACAGACTAGATGACAATCTTGTGGCTTTTTAAAGCTGAGTGAAGAAAGGGACATGAGTACAATTTACCTAGGGAGCTCCAGGCACAAAAATATTTATTTAAATTAATTCCTTAATAGCAACAAAGGATATAAATCATCTCCGCGTACATCAAATGTCTTTGTAAACCCAGATAATTGTAAATGTAACACTGACATCGTCGTGGTGCTGCATACAGCGTCTACAGAGAGTACAGATGACAGTGGGACTCTGTAGGCCCCACCCACAACAAGCTGCCTGCAGGTCATTACAGGAGGGGGCGGAGACAAGACCAGTCATCCTGCACAAGGAGAGAGAGCAGCAGTGATTGGTCAATATTACAATGGATCGCATGATACTGGGTTTAGGGTGTCTTTAGGAATTTATCGACAACTGCAGCAGATCACAGTGCGTTTGGAACACAGTGCGGGAAGTGCACACGGAACGTGAATTTCCTTCACTGCTTTCCAGTGTGAATGAGCCCTTAAGGAGCAGGGTTCTGCATTAGGTAATGCTATCAGTCAGAGCATGATAAAGGAAATGGGTAGTGTAAGTGTTACTCTGCCTCAGCACTTTATTTATATGTGATTTCAGTGGCTAAATGGTTAGCACTTCCACCTGGCAGTACTAGGGTCGTTGGTTTGAATCCCAGCCACAGCACCTCCTGCCTGGAGTTTACATGTTCTCCCTGTGCCTGCATGTGTTTCCTCCCACACTCCAAAGACATGCTGGGAGGTTAATTGGATCCTGTCTAAATTGTCCCTAGTATGTGTATGTATGAATGTGAGTTAGGGACCTTAGATTG